GGGGACGCGTTGCTGCTTTCTGTATCTGTTTCTTCATCCTAAATAAATAAAATAAATAAAATAAAATAAAATAAATAAAATAAATAAATTTATTTTAATTTAATTTAATAATTTAAACTTCTACACATACACAGCGCTGAGCTGCCTATACACCTGACGCACCTCGTCGTCATATGAAGATACACCTGAGTCGCTCCACTGCGATTGTTTTTTTTTCTGTTTTTTTTCTTTTTCTTTTTCTTTTTCTTTTTTGTTTTTTTTAGTTATAGATGAATCACTAGACTCGCCGCCAGCAACAGAAGAAAACAATTCTTCTTCTTCTTTTTGTTGTTTCACACGCAGCCGTCGCAGCAGTGGAGACGGAGTCCTTGGCTCCTCCTGCTCCAGCTTGTGCTGCTGCTGCTGCTGCTGCTGCTGCTGCTGCTGCTGCTGCTGGTGGTTGTTTATGTCGTCGCTGCTCGGGTGTACAGGCAGCTCGGAGCGCTCAGGCCGCGGGCTCTGGGGTGTATCTGCAGCTGAAGCAGCAGGGGGACCCCCCGCTGCTTCTTCTTCTTCATCGCTGGCGATGCGTTTGCGCAGGCGTCCTCTCCTGTATATGCAGCAACACATGAAGAATTAATAAAACAAATAAATAAAATATTTATTTTATTTTATTTTAATAAACATAAAATAAAATAAATATTTTATCGGGTATGTATGTCGAGCTGCGCTCAATTCCCCGCTTTTTTTTTGCAGCGCATCTGAGGTGTATGTACACCCGAAAACAACACACTCCCGCGGCTCACCGCCGTGCAATCTGAGGAGAAGCTGCTGCGGCTTCGTCGTCCATTCTCTCCTCCGTATTATGCAGGGGCCGCCGGGTGCAGCGGCAGCAACTAGGCGTCCATAATAAACCAAAAGAGAAGAAGAAGTGCGGCGGAGGATGAGGCAGAAGCAAAGAAAAAAAGAAAAAGAGAAAGAGAAACGAAAGAAAGTGATCGGGGGGAAGACGAGACAGCACAGGTGTTCACGGGGGGCTAAGCCAACTGGTGAGTTCAGGTGGAATATATTAT